TGGGCTATTTGTTCTATCATGAGTTCATCATGATGATCAGGGATCACCTTGGGGAAGAAATTTACAACGACATCATGAATAATTCTCAAGTTGGCGTGCTACTGAAGCTTGCATTGACTTCGTTCATATGGAGTGCTAAGACGGTTCAGTATTTTGTGAGTAACCAACTCAAGGTGGATAGGAATCATGAGTTCTGGACTCTTATTGGAGGTCGCCCGGTTAGATTTTCACTCTTCGCGTATGCTGAAATCACGGGGCTAAACTGTGACCCAATTGATCCCAATGACAAGTTGGAAATAGATCACACCGAATTTTGGGCTGAGATTGGAGTGAGAGGTGGGGAAGTCCCTAATTAGAATGAGTTAGAAGCTCGGATGAAAACTTGCCAAGCATGGAATTATGAGAAGAAGAAGATGTTGGCGTTGCTTTTCATTTTGCATGTTGGCGTATTGGGACTTCACCGCAACAGTCAAATCCCGTTGGCTTTAGCCAAAAAAGTTATGGATGAAGCAGCTTTTGAGAGACAGCCGTGGGGTCGTTATGGATTCCATGAACTAATTTATTCCATCAAGATTGCTAATTTGGGGGAAGCACGATACACTCTCCACGGATGTGTACAGGCAATGCTTGTTTGGGGTTATGAGTGCATCCCTATATTGGCTGAGAGAGCAGGGAAAATATGCCCGATGTAGATGACTCGGTTGTTCCTCTTCTTAGGTGGACTTCATCACGGTGTCGTTATGTTTTCGAGACTCTTTTGGAGATGGATAAGAGTGAAACCGAGGACCACAAGGTACTTGTACCTTAGCAGCTATTTAGTTGGTAAAGTTTTTTCATAACAGCTTAGTGTTTGGTAGAGTTATTTATTATACAACAATTTGTGGTAGAGTTATTAAATGTGTTAGAATTTAACATTTGGTAGAGTTTTAAATTTTGGTAGAGTTTTTACATTTTGGTAGAGTTTTTACATTTTGGTAGAGTTTTTACAATTTGGTAGATTTGGTAGAGTTTTCGTTTCAGTTTGATAGATTTATTAATATCATGGTAGATTTATTAATATCATTTTCTATGGCATGGCAGGTTCGGGTTAGACATCTAATGGTGGTGAAGCCCTTGGAGGAAATATATCCTGTCTGGGAAGGTGAACCCCGACGTGTAGACGTCGATATAAAGGTGCATAACATGATATGCGATATTCTGGATGGAAGCTTGGATGAGGGGTTCTGGGAATCTCCCAAAAACGTAGGTGGCGATGCAACAGGTGGCGATGCAACAGTTCAGACTCCGAAACAGTCGAAGAGGAAGTTGGAAACTCCACGCGTGGAGAAGAAAAAGAAAGAGAAGGTGAAAGAGGCTGAAGCAACGGATTAAACTCCGAGAAGCAAAAGGAGAAGGGAAAGAGAGGCAAGGAAAGAAGAGACGAAGCACGAAAACAAGGAGAAAAAGAAACGTAAGAAGGAGGATGAGGAAGAAGATGATGATTTTAACTCGCCGGTGAAGCTACTAAAGGATGCAATTGAAGAAAAGAGAAAGGAGAAAAGGGAGAGAAAGGAAAGAAAAGAAAGAAAGGAGAAGGAAAGAGAGAAGGAAAGAGAGGAGAAGGAGAGAGAGAAGCAAAGAGAGAACGAGAGCAAGAAGAAAGAGCCCGCTGTGGAGAAGGAGGATAGGACGAATGAGATCCTCATGGCAATCAATGGTTTATCAACGACGGTTGCATTGCTAAACAGCAATGTCAGCAGTGCTGTAATTCGTATAGACCACTGGATAAGAGGATTGCCGTTATCGAGGATAAACATGAAGAGAAAGATGAGGCCATGGCGAATTCTGGGAACCAGGTTGACAACGACCATGTTGACAATGATGATAATGCCGGTGATGCAGAATCCAAAACCTCACCTAAAACCCCTAGAGCAAAGGCATCTCCTCCAGCAGCAGCGCTAGTAGCAGGAACGTCAATGGGAGGTGGAGCAGGAACGGGAACGGGAGCTGTGGAAAAGGATCCGGTACGCAAGTCTCTCTTCTAATATCAGTAACTTAGAAAAAGTTACTGGAGACAACATTCAACTATGTTTTCCTTTATGGTAGATTTGTACGAAATACTTTTTTACTTTGGTAGACTTGTATTGATGGTTTTTTTTTAAAACTTTTTTTGCACAGTAGACTTTTAATGTTTTCTTGGAATACAAGATTAACATTATGTGGTAGATTTTTACATAGTTTGGCAGTGATCCCATATTTATATTAGGTAGATTTATAACTATTTCGGTAGATTTTTAGGTAGATTTAGTTATGTTAATATTTGGTTTGACTGATGTGAAATTACTATACATGCGAAGCAGTCGTGGATGATGGAGATGCAGGAAACATCAGAGCCAGGTTTTCCTGTTGCAAGAGTTGTTAGAACCCCAGCGTCGAGAGGAAAGACTGTAACCAAAGTGAAAAAAGAACCTGCTGATCCTAAAGAGAAGAATCAATCAGGCACAAAGTCAAAACCTGATTTAAAAGACAAAAACGAAGAAACCCAGATAATCAATATAAGCGATGTTTCACGCCCACTACAGTCTAGACGAGTACAGATCCCTTCCCTGCAAGACGAAGACGACTCAGCGATTGAAGCTATGAAGAAACGCTTAGATAAGCTGGTGGAACATGCAAAAAATCCACCTGCTGAGAAGGAAAAAAGGGGACGCAGCCTTGCACCTACCCAGGTTTCACCCTACCTTGGTAACTCAGTGGTGAGACGAATCATGGACCCAGCAGGTCCCCCTCCTGGGAGGTATGATCCTTTTGAAGCGGTGGACAGTCGAATACTGGATAATCTAACCCACTACGTAGCTTTTGAAGCATAAGTCAGTTTTAAATTTCCATGGTAGACTTACTTGTTTGATTTGGTAGACCTATTTGGTTTATATAGTAGACTTATTAGGTATGTTGGTAGACTTACTTCGGAGTCTGGTATGTCTATGTCCTTTTTCAGGGAAAAACAGTTGGCGAGTCCATATGCAGGAGGAGAATTTTACCTGACACTAATGACCCCTAAAGAAAAATGGCCGAGAAAGGAGTATGGGTGGTTGCATGATCAGGTATGTGGTCGTATCAGGGACCCGATTTTAGTTTCTATTGGTTTGGTAGACTTTGGAAATTGTTTGGTAAACTTTGGAAACTTAATGATAGAATTACTTTGGTAGACTTGTAGTAACAAATAGTAGATTTAGTCATTATGTTTGGTAGACTTGTATTCTATTATGTAGTAACAAATGGTAGATTTAGTCATTATGTTTGGTAGACTTGTATTCTATTATGTTTGGTAGACTTGTAAAGCTGGTTGGTAGACTTATATAAATTTGTTTCATTACCTAATGCAGCATATGTGCAAAGGATTAGACATGTTCCGGCAACGGTCTATGCGGTATCCATCTCCTTACAAAGGGGGAAGAGTTGCTTTCATTGATCCTATCTTTTGTCGAGTTTGGTGTGGAGACTACCGAACCAAATTTCTACCAAACAAGAAGAGTTGGATATTCAGTGATGGTTATTTGGACGTTGCCAACGGTCACTACGACCATTACTTGCCTACACACAAGAAATGGGGGACAGATGTTGATTTCGTGTATATCACCCACAACGTGAACAACGAACATTGGGTAGCCGTTGAGGTCGACATTCCCAAAAAAAGATCCGAGTGTTTGATTGCATTCCAGATTTATACAGAAAAGGCGAGGTGGAGGAGTCTGTGAAGCCCTACGCGAGGATGATTCCGCTGTTGTTGAAACATATGGCACCACCGGAGCTCAAGAAGGGTATGAAGGAGGGGCAGTTTCATATCTACATGTATAAAACAGCGGCACTAAACAGACAGACAGGTGCAATGCAGCTTTGTAGATTGGTATTTTTATTTGGTAGACTTTTAACTAATTATCGGGTACTTGTTATCAGGTGATTGTGGCATCATTACTTTGAAGACCATTGAGTGTTTGGCTTTGTGCCATAAATGGGACCAGCTGAAAGATAGCAACATGCCTCTCATTCGTATGAAATACGCAGCTGAGATTTTTGATGAGGTACATGAAGCTGATGAATCCCGGATGTCTGATCCTAACCCTCAAAGTTTATTTGATGACAAGTACGGTTTTCAGACAGACTCCGCTAACTGAGATATTGGCTTGGTAGACCTTTGGGATCTGAAATCATTTTTTGGTAGATTTAATACTCAGATCCAAACTAATTGGTAGACTTTTGGTATCGGATGTTGTATTTTGGCCGATTTATTACTCATAGCCAGCCTCTTTGGTGGTCTTTTGGAATTTAGGCGTCGCTTGTGTTTTGGAATTTAAAGCGACTAGATGCTGCTGTAAAAGGAACCTGCTTTGTAGTCTACATGCTGGTCCTATTGCTTTACATGAATGGTAGATTTATAACATGATTGGTAGATTTATTGCAATCTTGGTAGATTTATAACATGATTGGTAGATTTATTGCAATCTTGGTAGATTTATAACATGATTGGTAGATTTATTATTGTCAAATAGTAGAGTTTAGATAAAACATGTTCCAGATTTACAAGTGCATAAACAAGGTTTTCAAGCGGATTATTGCAGTCTATAATAATACAAATACAAGGTTTTCGATTTGTCAACTAAGCTCGACATGTTAGGCGATTATGTCCGCCTTGGCCACAGTTACCACATTTGGGGATCTTCCGAGGACGTTTACTCGCCATGGCGGCCTCGAACGCACCCTTAATCCGAATTTTCTTTGGTCTGCCGGGTGGGTTGCGAACATCAGGCGGGCGACAAATTTTGGTAGCTACTTCATCTGGCACAGGGAGTGCTACGTCTCTTGGCATCACACTAACAGCATACGCTTGTTGCAAGTAACTAGTGTGATAGTAATGATGGCAAAGAGAGATCGGCGACAACTTCCTCCTATCGGCGGCGGCTATGGCATGTACGCAAGGAATTTTATCCAAATCAAACCGTCGACAAGTACATGTTTTCTCTGTCAAATTGACAACATGTGCAGATGTTGTGCCTAAAACCTCTGTACGATGCTGATCAATCTCTTGTACAGGTAAGAGTTTAGCATCTTCAACTCTAGCATGTCGGCAAGAAATTATTTAGACGTTATATAAGTCTACCAAATAGAAGATATAACTCTAGCAAATAAATGAAAGTCTACCTTAAAGGAAAAAGAAAGCCAACCAAATAATTTGAAACTCTACTTAATAGCAGAGATAAGTCTACCAAATAATAGAAAGTCTACCTAATAGCAGATACAAGTCTACCAAATAATAGAAAGTCTACAAGGTAAAGTAGTGTCTACCTCCAGCAACTTCTCAACGCCCGTTGTTAGAGTGGTAGCCATGTTATTGGCATTGACACGTCTTTTAGCAAACCACCTGGCCAGGAGACTTCTTATATCATCCACTAGTCGTACGATAGGCTTACCTCTTGCAGCAGATAGCACCTTGTTTAGTGACTCCGCTATGTTGCTAGTGGTGAAATTGTACCTATCACCTTGGAAGTGTACACGACTCCACATACAAATATCTGCCTTCACCAAGTATGCATGCAGTGCAGGATTTGCCTCTTGAATCTGAGCAAAAAGGGCATTGAACTCGAGAAGTCTATAAGCAGTGGCAGCCTTCTTAACACGCTTGAATGTTTCAGCGCCTCTGAATTTCAACATAATGTTCTTATGGAGATGATATGTACAAATACGTCGACTAGCAAGAGGATAAACCTTCCCTATAGCATTTCCTATGGATTTATGCCTATCAGAAATAATGGCAAGTCCTGGACTGATCTACGATGAAGACCCACCTCGTTTTCTTTAAAACCCAGTTACCACAAACCAAAACAACTTGATCCATGAATATAAAAGTGGATACGAGGCACAAGATCGAAGTAGAAGGAGATGTGGTTGCAAAAAGAGAGGAAAAAATCAACATGCAAGAGTTATCCCAAGTTTAACAGCTCGACGGCGAAACCTAGAGGTTGAAGATGGACTCTGGTTTTGTTCCGTACTTTAGACAATACATACAGGGCAAAAATGTAAAATCGCACTGCCCGATAACTAAGTTTACCACATTGAAATTGAATCTAACATTTTACAAACTAATCTACCATATAGGTGACTAAGTCTACCATTAATAAAACATATGTACTTGTAATGTTTATAGATCTACCAACTAAAGTACAGTATATTTAAGCAGGTGAAAACCCAGCAGAAAACATAAACTTAAGAGTGAGTTGAGATATAAATCTGCTGGTCTTGCGACATAGGCGAGTTTAAACGGTAATAGCGTCGTCTGCGCTTCGGCAATTCCACCGACGGCGAAGGAGTACTCACAGATTATTTGGTATGAACATTCATAACCGCGGTTAACATTTAGTGTTCATAGCATTACACGACTTTTGTTATAGATTATGGGAGTTTCTATCATTGATGGGGTTAATGTTCAATGAAAAAGTCGTCCTGCTTTAGTAAAAGTGATAAAATGCATCTATTTCGTCGTTGAAAGGTTGTTTCTCGGCTATCGGCGGCTGTAGGCCTAAACCCAGAAACCCTAGTTTTTGTGTGAATGGTAGACTTTTTTTGATATGTAGTAGAGTTTTGGTATTTTCATTTGTAGTAGACTTTTCTGGTTTAGCTGGTAGACTTTCGATGATTATGGTAGACTTTTAATATTTATAGTAGACTTTTGTTTATTTTGATTTGTGTTGTTTAGTACTTTTCTTATCGACGCAGACAATGCCGAGCTATAGCGACAGTTCTTCTGAAGAGCCGGAAATGGACATGTGACAGTGGTCGGGTTTTGGAGATTTTGGGATTCCAGAGAAGTGTTTTTGTGGTCGGGATATGATCCTTAAATCAATGACTGGTAATACGCCAGCAACACCTGGCCGTAGGTACTACACTTGTCCATTCTCGTTCAAGGAGGTAAGTAGCTTGAATATTTGTCTTAAGTTTTCTTAAAATATCCATTTGTTATTCTTTAGTTAACTGTTGTGTGATAACACCGTATTTTGACCACTTTTATGGATCGTTTTGAAATACTTTTTCTATGTTTTTAATTGCTTTTAAGTACTTTTATCACGTTTTTCTAGTATTTGTAGTTCCAAGACTCTTTTCGGTAACTTAGGGAAAAGCTTAACAAAATGGATAGAAAACCAGATTTCAGCTCAGAGTCAAACCGTCAGAAGTTCACCCCTGATTGAAGGTCTTCTCATTGTCTGATCCAGCTCAAATTTTGAGACCTTAAAGATGGAAGTATCAGCTTTCCAGTGCACTTTACAGCTTGGCAATCCAACGGTTCAATCAAAAGATACGCGAAGAGCAAGATATCCCGTAAACCAGCCGGCAAGCACTTCCACCCGCGGCCAACAAGCAATTTCCCGCGGTCAGGAGCATCCCGACCGCGGCAAACCACTCATCCACCGCGGTCACACTTGTCCCGACCGCGGCCATCAACCTCCGAGCCCAAAAATCCCATTTCTCAAGCCCACATTTGGAGAAACCCTAAGTGACGTCCAGAGAGGTCTTGAGCACTATAAATACATGTCTTAGGAGCCCTAGAAATCGTGCAACCTTAGAGAACCGAATTATTTACTTCATACTTTTATTGTTTTTGCTTTAGCTTTTAGGAGAGAGAGATTTGTTCTCTTGAACCCTTGTTCTTTCTTTTTCAATTTCGGTTTCTATTCTACTTATTATTACTATGCTTTTGATTTCGTTCATTATGTCTGAGTAGTTTTATTGTTGGGATTAAGGGATTTTCGATGGGGATTTATATGTTCGATGAGGATTCCATGAGCTTTTGAGCCGAATCTGAGAAATTTTTCTTCTGAATTCGTTTTTACTGCATGAGAGTAGCGTCATGAACTACAGTTTTATCCAGATACTTGGTGACAGGAAAGTGTTCATCAGGTATCAGATCTAGTTTGGGAGAGCAAAACAAACATAGGAGTGGAAACCTACCTATGGGCGATTTGTGAATTATGATGAGTCTTAAACATAATGCATCTCTTCTCTTCCAAGGCCAGAGTGGAAACCTACTGGTCAGGGTTGAGAGAGATAGTTGTCTATGATCACGACAGTGGCGTATTCATACGTCCGTGACTCCAGTTCGAAAAGTTTAAGCTAAGATCTTACAAAATTTCCTCTCTAGCAATGTTTTGAATCGTTCGTACCCCTGAGAAAACTTCCCTGAACCCCAACGCTTTTTCTCCATTGATTTACACCGATTTTCTTTAAAGCTTTAGTTCAATATTGTCTTTCCTTTTTAGTTCATTTTCATTTAAGCATTAGAATATCCGCTTTTATCATTTTTAGTCATTTTCATTAAGTTTAGTTATTACGTCATTTAATTCTCGTATTCTTTTTTAAGATTTCGTTTTTACATTTTAAACACACTACCAAACCCCCACTAAACCGTTTTTGTTCTAGACTTCCTTACTTTAACTTATTTCAAAGGCTTTTTGCAGAAAAAGATCCTCCTTCCCTGTGGATTCGATCCCTAAGTACTACAATCGATCAGCTGTGCACTTGCGGCTATTGATTTCAATTAGGGTAAAACTTGACAACCCTCGACACCACACATCAAGTCCAACACAACCACATCAAGTTTTTGGCGCCGTTGCCGCGGAAGGCACGCGTTTTCTTTTCTATAAAACCCCGAGAAAGGTTAGTAAATCGACTCTAGAACCCCCTTTTCTGCAACTTTCCATTTTTCGGTTATTTTGTTTCCATTTCAGAAGATATGGATCCTATAAATCGAAATATACAAAATAAGGAAGGTTTCTATAACACTCCTCAAGCCACCAGACGCAGAGAGAAGCAGTATCTGCGAGATCTCTACGAAAAAACTCAAAGCGAAGACAACAGAACGTTCCAGAAGGAGCCCTACGCACCTCAAATGGAAAACCCTAGATACTCTATGTATCGCCTACCTCACCAAGTTCTTCAGCAAGATGAGAACGTCCAGCTCAGTAACAGACTGAGTCGGCTCGAAGGCGTGATCAGACAGTTCATAGAAGCTCAAGCAACCACTACAACTGCTCTAAACGAAAGGATTGATGGGATATCGAAACTTTTCAATGAAAAAATCGATAACCTAGCCTCACAAGTCAATTCAATAGAAGAACGTGCAACCAAGGATGCAGCTATGATCGCTAACAGGTTCAACAGCATGGAGGAAAAGCAAGCAAAGCACAACTATGAGCTTCGCAACACCAAAAACAAAGTCATGGACCTGGATTTTTCAAACTTGATGACGTGGACAAAGCCTTGAACGAAGCTAAGAACGAGTCTTATGACTTTACAGTCGAAGTTTCAGAGAAGGTTTACAAAGTCATCGACAAAACCGAAGAGCTTGACTCAACCATGGACAAAGTAGCCTATGCTCTTGATGAAGTTGAAGAAAAGGTTGAGGAGATCATGCAAGGACTTGGAGATCAGATTCCAGCAACCAAAACTAAAGACTCAAGTCCAGAGAGGAAGTACATCAAGCTAGAAGACCCAGAAGACCATCCAGGAAGCAAAGGAGGAAGCAACAGCAGCAGAGCAACTTGAAGGCAAATCCCCGCGGTCGCGTTGGCTCCGACCGCGGCAAACAAGTGCTCCCCCGCGGTCATGTTAGGCCTGCCCGCGGCCCTTGGTCGCTTCCCCGCGGTTGCGTCACCTGCAGCAAGGCCAACCGTAAAAACGTTCCAAAACAGTCCCGTTCAGCTCATACAAGCATCTGTACGTCTGGTACACCTCCTGGGATGACTAAACCACTCCATCAACAACTGGTTTGCTCCATAAGCACCCAAAGATCTGAAGAAGAGGACAAGTCATGGCCTTGCAACATGGCTTTGTCTTGTGAAGATGAGTATGAAGAGCAATACTCTGAAGATGAAGAGTATGGGTTGTTTGTAGAAGATCCAAACACAGGATATTCCTCAGAAGACGACTCAGGAGAAATTCAATGGATCACCAACAACATCAGTAGAGAGAAGCTAATAGAGTTCAACAACATAGTCAGGTCATTCCCTGCTCATTTTAAGCTTTGATGAAATCTGGAAACTTGGTCGTTTGCAAGTCTTTTTCAAATACTGCAAGGAGTCTAAAGAGGATATCCATAGATACTTTATGAGAGCTCGATACATGACAACACCAGAAGCAGCTGTCTATGCAATTCACCTCAAAAATCCGGAAGAGTGCAGCCACTACACCAACAAAATCAGCAAAGAAAAGCTCGACGAATTCAATGATGTGGTTCGAAATTTGCCTGAAGGAATCACGTTTGCCAGAGCTTGCAAGGACTTTATGATAGGCCACTACTTCTGTGAGAGAAAAGAATCAATCCCTGAGATAGAAGACTTGTTCAATCATGCAAGAAAAGGTAAACCTGTTCGAACACTTCATAAAATAGAAGGTATAGGTCAGTTTCTTATCTCTTGTTCTATTAGAGGAGAAATGTTTAAAAACGTGCTATGTGATTCTGGAGCTTGTCTTAACATGATGTCCAAGACAATTGCTTTGAGACTTGGTATTAAACACCTGCGCAGGACTAGAGCAAAGATTAGCCTAGCTGATGATTCTAATGCAACACCTCAAGGAATAGCTCATGAAATTCCTTTGAGAATAGGAGATTGCATAGTGCCTGTCGACTTCTACATTGTCGAGACAAGAGATGCAACATATCCAGTGATTCTGGGATGGTCTTTCTAGCAACTTCCGGAGCTATAATGGACTGGCCAAACCGGAGGATTTCATTTGCTAATATCGACAAAGATGTCTTCACAGAAGCTGTCCCATACAACAGCAAAGCAGGAAAACGTTCTGCAAGAGAAGAGTTTGAAGAAGAACTTTGGAGTGACGAAGAACCTGCTAAGCAAAGCAAGGAGATGTCGAAAAAGACTTGTCTCAGGACAAGGTCTTCTTCAAGGTCTTCTTCATTGGAATAAGTCACGTCCAACACCAAAAGTCGAGCTAAACGACTTAAAACAGAAGCGCTTAATGGGAGGCAACCCATTTAGGTATTGCTTTCTTTAGAATTTTTCTTTCTTTTTCTTTTGATCTTTTTATTTTTCTTAGTTTCAGGTGTTTCTTATAAAACAAAAAAGTCAAAAAAAAATCAAAAAAACCCGAAAAGACCAAAAAGAAGGATGGTACCTGACTGCTCGGCCCAGCAGGAACCAAGGAGAAGCAGGAAGAGGCCGCGATATAAGCCCCCGCGGTCGCAGACGTTCTGACCGCGGGAAACCAATCATCGACCACGGTCGCGTAGTCCTGACCGCGGCCAAGCACTTGGTTGCCGCGGTCGTATGACCCCTGACCGCGGCACTTGGTCGTTGAGATCCAAACCCGACCCAAACCACCCCTTTCACCTCATTTCACCTCACCAATCCCCCTCCACCTCATTCATCCCCCTCCAACACCTTCATCACCACCTAATCACCTTCCCAAACCCCTTCGAATGAATCCGGTTCCTCTCCACCAGCATCCCGGATCCAGGTAAGTTCTCTTTGTCCTTACCAGTTCGATTATCTATGCATTTTTCTCATCCAATCTCGACTTGTTTCACACTGAGGACAGTGTGATTTAAGTTTGGGGGAGGATTTCATCCCTTTCTAACCACCTTTCTTTCATGAGTCTTGCATTATCTACATTTTTTTTCATTTTCCTTAAAGTTTTTCAGAATCGGTTTTCAAAACAAAATACGGTTTAAAGGGAATGGTGAACATGAATCAATGATAGTTGACTGTGTGATTTTAGACTGTTCCTAGTGACATGCTCATTCATGATTTAGGACTAGACTAGGCGGTAGCTAAGCACATTTGAAACGAACTACCCCAGAGGAATTTGAATAATTTCGATTTAGATGAAAGGATACACTAGCTCTGTTTTATTTGGACTTATTTTGGACTTAATTTTCTCATTAAAGCATTAGACCA